AGCCCCTTAGAAACAACCCAAAGCTGTTATCAGCTACGTTAGCCCCTTAAAACAACCCAGAGCTGTTATCAGCTACGTTAGCCCCTTAGAAACAACCCAAAGCTACGTTTACTAAAACAACATGTCAGCATGTATTTGCAGAGCATGGATGGATTTATGCAACTACTTCAAAATGAACTGAGGGATTTTTTAATGAAGGAGAGGGAGCTGACTTGCGTGTGCGCGGTACAGGCGTAGCGCCGGCGTGTGCCCGGGTCACATGACGTGTCCTCCAGACAGAAACTGGCCTTGTGTCCCTCAGCGACCTTCTGTCCAGTGGAGACGTCCAGCAGGTCGTAGTTACTGAAGGACTCCATGCTGTGGTAATGCCTGGATGGATGGGTGGATACAGACACTGTTACTATTTTCATATCAAATATCACATTTGTAGTGTTCTTTTTCCATTATCTTTCTTTTATTGTACTGTACGTGTACGTCTCCACTTCCAAAGCAGACTTTTCCTTTTAAAAAGCACTTTGCCATTACATTCAAGGGAATTCTTAATAATACATCATTTACAGCTGTTTTTAAAATATGGAAACTACAAATGGAACTGTCCAAAACAACATTTTTCTAAATCTCTGCTGAGGTTCAGCTCACTGGTGACAGCTGTGCCACTCCCACTCGTGTCTGGGCTTCATGGGGAGGAAGTCCGCCGTTCCCTGGTTCTTCACCCGCTGGGGGAACCGCAGCAGGACTCTGTAGTCCAGGTCACTGACGCTGGGGTGGTAGGCAGACCTGAGGGGACAGGAGCAGGGTAGGCAGCATTACCTCCACCACCCCCTCATCCTCACACACGCTGAACCCCAAACGCTCTGGCTGCTCAGTCCCCGGATCACTCAGCTCTCTGAAATCATTCTCTGACATTTTCTCAGATCAGAGGAGAGAATCTCCTCTGTTAGGTTTGTGTCCCGTCGCTTTGTCACTCAGTGGGACCAGCACCATGTCAGCCCAATTCAACTGTTTCTGTTTCTGCATTTAGCAGACGCTGTTATCCAAAGCAACTTACAAAGTAGACACAATCTTACAGTTATCATCAATATGAAAATAATCTCTCTAGACGAATCAGTGTCAGAGTCAGTGGTGGCAGAAAGAGAGAGAGAGAAGGAAGCCCAGAAAGAGGAATATTGGGTCCAGAGGTCTGGGAGGAGTTAGGATAGGAGCTGCTCTGTGGAGAGGGGGGTCTTTAAGAGTTTCCAAAGGAGAGAAAGGGACCTGCTGCTGTTCTTGTAAGGCTTGGTAGCTCCTTCCTCCAAACAACACATGAAAACAGTTTGATTGTTTTAACGTGGTGGCACTGCTAGACCACAATCTGACGGTGACCGGAGGGACCAGCTGGGACCTCTGAGAGGGTTCAGGGGGACAGGAACCGGACCCTGAAGACCTCTGAGGGCACCTGGTTTGATGCTGGCAGCCTGGGATAACCAGGGGTAACCATGAACAATGGGCTTCACCAAACTGTGAATTTAAATGGTGCTGTGGGGGACTTAAAGCAAAGCAGGGCACCTGGACAGGCAGTTCTCCTCTGCTGCGCAGCGGAGCGCGTACATCTGCACCCTCTGGATGTAGGAGGCAGCCTGGATGTAGAACGGGTCCGGGATCAGGTCCGGAAGGCCTGTTAGAGGAAAAATGTTAAGACCTTTGTATAACTGATTATTTAATTAAATAGTGCAATTTCGCTTTAAACACAACTGTGTTGCATCATTAAGAGTGGTATTTGTGATTGATAAGAATATTAATAATCATTAAATCACGACCAAAATGATTTTTAACATAATTCCAGATTTTCATATGTAAATCCAGTATTTACCTACTGATTGTAAACTGGCTTTGTGTACACAGCTTGAAGTTTTGTTATGATGGGGTGACTAGACTCTTGAAACGCTTTACCGTGTGTGCCAGCCTCACCGTGGTGGAAGAACCTGGTCCCGTGCCCCCCCTCCGGGGGGGGACGCGCCAGCCTGTTCCTGCGGTCCGCCGGGTAAATGTCATAGAAAACCGAGTTCCTGTGGAGGACGCTGTGCGGGTCTTGGGGGTCTTGGGGGTCTTGGGGGTCCGCTGTGTGGGCTGCATCCGCCCCTCCACGAGGGAAATCAATTTCCACAGCGTTCCCGGACAGCGGTGTGGGGGGGGCGTGTGACCCCGGAGAGACCCGGGTCAGGGCGTGCGCGCCCCGGGCCTCTCCCGGGATTGGCCGCGGGGGGGGGCGAGGAGGGTTCCCGATGCCCACCGCAGAGGGGGCAGCTGGGTCTGGGCTCCCGGGCGCGTCCCGGTCCAGACTGTGCGTAAAGGCGCGCGCACCGGCCGGTGCGCCTGCGGCCGGTGCTCCGGCCTCCCCCCCCGGTACACCGGCCCCCTCCCACGATGCGGCGCGGCCCCCTCTGGGGCCCCCGCTCCCGGAGGACTCGTGCACGGCGCTGCTGTTGGCGCCTGTGAAGGCTTCCACGCGCCGGGGGGGCGGGCTCTGCGCGCGGGGGCGCTCCAGCGCCAGCAGGTACGGACCCACATCAGCCCCCAGAACCGACTCACCCACCGGTCCCCGGTCCAGGGTCCCCGGTCCCCCGGACCCGGACCTGCTGGACCTGCCGGGTCCTGGGGGGGGCCGGCGGCGGGCTGAGGGAGGTTCTGGTGGTCAGCAGCAGCTGGGGGGGGCTCCTGCTCTGCGCGGGGAGGCGGTACTGGGTCCCGGTGCTCAGCAGGCTGTACACCTGACCGTTGTTCTCCCACTGAATCCGGTGTCTCCACGGCCCGACACGCGCGCGCGGATGATGCTGACCAGTCCCCAGGGACACCAAAACAAAGAGGCAAAAGGCAACAACCCCGAACCGGCCCATGCCTCCGGGATTCTGACCTACTGAGCAGCTTCAGAACTCAGACCAGAGTGAGGAAGATTTGGGCAGATTCTTGGGATGGGGGGGGTGGGGGGGGGGTGGATTGGCTGCGTCACGCTGTCGCGCGCAGCATCACCGGCAGGAGGGCTTGGTTTGGGAGGATTTCAGGGGCTGTGGTCAGCCCATTCCGCCCTCATATCAACACCTGCCCAGCGGGCCGGTCACCGTCAGCCCCAGGGCTTTCAGTTCCAGCACAAAAGCCCAAACTCTGTGGGTCTGCTGGTGCCAAAGCAAGTAGAACTGTTAGTGAAGCCATCCTGGTCAGAGAAAACTCCTGTGGAGGATCCACGGGAGCTGGAATGGTTTTAATATTACGCCCAGCTTTAATTTAGGAACGGTTTGAGTTTAGGTTATATAGCGGGTCATCTGTGGTCATTTTCTGCTGACCCCCAGCTGACGTGTCCAGCTGACCACACGATGGCAGTAGGTCCCCACTCTAGTGTGCAGTCAATGGCACCTTCAGGTTAACCTTTGACCTCCACTCCAAAAGTGTGAGTTTATATTCTTGAACATTTTTTACCCATATCATTACATACTATTTAAGTGAACTTATAATAAATATGGATTCCAATAAATTAGATCAACCAAAAGAAACAAAAACAACCCAGAGATGAAGACAATCATGAGTTTAATCATGTTAACGCTGTTTTTTTAATGAGACGTGGTTCATCGTCTGTTTTTTATTCTTTAACACACTGTGAAAAGGCGTGGGTTTCAAAATATGCAAGCAACAGAAATAATAAGGAGTTCATTATGATGAATATTTGATGAATTAAACTCAGGGTCAGTCATAACTCACCGATATAAAGAAATGGGAGAGCCACCTTAGGAAGGTTTCAAAAACAGGTTACAAAACAAACAAAAGTTACTATTACTGACAAAAATGTCACAACTCCGGACTCAGAATGAAAAAAAGTTACAAACGCACTTGTCCACAAAGATAATGAGATGTATGTGATCAGCATTCAGTCCGTACTTATCTTATAAAAGTGGTAAAGGTCTAACAAAGATAAGCTGTGTGGTTGCTCTGCACCCTGCTCAGGTTCAGTCTGTTTGTTGAGTTTGATGGGAGCATTTATCCTGCACACCTCTTGGTAATGTGGTGACTCCAAAAGTCTTAAATTAAAACTCTTTAATTGGCTGCTTTAAACTCAGAGGGATACTGTTTCATGGGTGAACCCAAGGCTTTTCTGGGAGCCAGATTACAGATGTGGGATGACATAGTTTCATCTGTATGACAACATTAATACACAGGAGGGTCCTTTTTGATTTTTTAACACAAAGTCTGTGCTGTTTTAACAATTTTTTAACAATAAGTTCTGCTTCCAATACTTTATATTTAATTCATAGTTTGATTTTCCTACTGGATTGCAGTTAGAAGGGAGACAAAAAGACTCTCTCTGGAAAAGCTGACCTCTAGAACGGCGTGTTGTTGTTGGCTGTCTTTGCCAAGGTATTTGTCTTCTCTCAGTCCTGCTGGCAGCACAGACGTGCAGACAGACAGGTACCTGGCAGCCTCAAAGGAACAGGACGAAAACACGCACAACACCGAGCAATAAAACAGGTCAAAGCCTGTAAAACTCTCCGCAACAACATCCAATCAAAGCCCACTTTATTTCCATCGTTTAACTATCCACCTGTGATCTGTGAGTGAGTGGGGAAAGGCTCTGAGAGTGTGAATGTTACTGGACACAAATGTAGATCATAGGTTGTGTGTGTTTTGATGAGAGTAGTGTGATTCCTCCAGCTCTGCCTGTGCTCCCTTCTCTGTGTCACTTCCCCCCTTTCCCTGATTCGGTTTTCCAGCCCAGTAATCACAAAGAATCCGTACACTGTTAAGAACTCCTGTCGAAGTCGGTCAGATCCAACCTGTTCTCGGTGTGTAAAACCTAAACACACAGCGGTGACACGCGTGCACGTGGTGCTGATACGCGTGCACGTTTTACTCCCTCTGCTCTCAGTCCAAGCCGAGAGCCACACCCCTTTTCAAAAAGTCACGTAATGCATGGAAAAGCTGTGCTCAGGTGACCTCAGAGCTGTAGAGCGATGTTCTGTATGTGTGAGCAAATGCAGACCTTCTCAGGACCAGGATCATAAAAACACAGAATAAACGTCCCGAGTGTTGTGTTTCACCCTCTGGTTGGTTATTAGTGTGCATCTGGATGGACCGGCTGAGAGGTGTTGGCGTGACTAAACAGTGGAGGAACAGGGTCAGGTTTGTCCAGGAAAATGTCTAGACTGGATTTGTTTTCAGTCCTAAGCAGATTGGGGTAATTCGGTCACTGGTTCACATAGCATGTTCATGTGTGGTGGAACATAAAGGGCTTAGTGTTTCTGCCTGGAAAGCTAGCGGCAGGCCTCCTCAGACCACGGTAGGTGGCCTTATGAGCAGGTCTCCGGAAGAAAACCCCTCACTTTCCATGGTCTGAGGCGGAGTGTTCGGTGTCCGGTTCATATCCAGTCATCACACACACGGCTGTCATTTTTAGCCCCACGAGTCCAGAGCGCTGTGGTTTGGAGCACCTGTTAGGGTGTCACAACAATCACCCGGTCACTCCGTTTACATAACCCGATCCACACACCTCCGGCTGATGTCAGGAGCTCCTCAAAGAGCAGCTGGACTTTAATAGTTGTCGGCAAAAGGTTGATACTGTGTGGTTGAGTCAAAGCTCTTTAAACTGCCCTGATGAATAAAACAGACCAGATTAAAGAGGACAGAAGTTCAGTGATTCAGTGAAATCTCCATTTTGGAAATGAGGTTACTTAAAATACACTGAGTTGTTTTATACTGAGCTTCATATTATAAGTAGAAGTTCTCTGACTGTGACTCTGACACAGGATAAAGTATTCCCTCAGTTAAAATAGGAAATTATTTTGGTCTATTATGTGCTAAAGGCCTCAGTCTTTGGTTGGTCTCTGACCTACTCAGGGCAGCTATTCCAGGCCTGAGAGGACAGATATAGTAGGGCTTAAGCGACCATTTTCTGCTTTTAAAATAGAAGCATAGTCATATGGATCTATATACAGTAATGAAAGCATCCAGAATAACTGATTGATAATAATAACCTATGTAAAGTCCCAAACGGCCACCCTGGTTACTCCTCATTCCCGGAGTTTAGCCCCTTCAGTCTTAATGTTACAGCAATGCTTCAATACAAATGAAGTTATGCACAAAGGGATTTAACATGATTTCTAGTTTGGTTTTTAATTCATGTCAGACTTGCTTCCTCTGGTTGTAATATTACACAATCATGAAAACCCAATCCCTTCCATCCATTTTCTATACTGGTGATTCCTTATAGGGTCATGGCCGGAGCCTGTAGCTAATTCTATCAAATAAGGCAACAAGCCATCGATTTTAAATTCTGGGTTCATATTTGTGAAGCAAAAACAAAAAAAGCTGGTCAGTTCTTTTTGATGTAGAGGTGTGAGTTCCCTCCTTTATGGTATTATTTTAAATGCAGGAGACAGAGAAGGCACAGGGAGGTTTGAAAAGCTGCATGTCTGCAGCAGCTAATGCATTTATTTGCAGGAGAATGGGATTTATGGACAAATGTTCCAGAGCAAGTCAATGGTTTCACAACAGTAACTTCCTTATGGTTAGCTCTACAATCATTTGTCAAAAGGGGGAAAAACACATCTTGTTTGTTCAACAAAATAAAAAGACAATGATAAGTTAACATTGCTTCCTTCAATTTACAAAAATAAAATTACAAAAAAAGATGCATCTTTAAAAAGATGCATTGAGGCTATTTACAAAGTCTGTACAGAAGTGGAGAGGACTCTTCCTGCTGCAAGACAGAAGAAAAATACAGAATTAGACAAGGTGCTTCACTTATTATCATAAAAATGTAAAGATTATAAAAGGGGCTTCTGGTAATCCCTCAATCTTACCTATAAACGATTAAGCAAGTTGTTCTGAATGTCCTCATACACCTGGTTGTAGATCTCCTCTTTAGATTTCAAACCATCGAGGTATTCTGTAAAAGAGTAAACAAAGTTTATTTTTAAAAATGAAGAAAAAAATAGTCCCAATTACTGTTTGACAACTGCCGGCTTAAAAACAAAACCCTGTGAAAAGTCACCTTTCAGGGCTCATACGGTTTGTGAACATTTCAGAAGATGCTGAGGTTATAAAATAATAAAATAAACGTGTTCAATGTTTGTACCATAGTTCAGGCCGCTGTCCTCCATCTCCTTTCTATGCTTCAGGTACATGGGCCACACATGGCCATCGAACAGGCCTGGAGGGTCAGGGACCGTGTACTGCCTGGTACTGGAAATAAAATAAAAAACACTATGTGAGAACATGTCATACTGGGATAATGAGGGACATGTGAAGAGATGAAATTGAACCAAGGGTCTTAAACGGTTTCCAGGCCAAGGACCCCCAAACTGATGGAGTGGGGACCCCCTAATTATATATATGTAGTGTGAAATTGTGGTGGTCCTATAGTGTGTAAATGCCCCTTGTTATTGGGCATTCAGTACTAAGATCCTCAGATAATCCACAGGTTGATATCTTCCTGTTTTTACTGTAAACATCTGGTTCTGGTTCCTGGTTGGTGGGACAGGTGTTGTGAATGAAACGGGGCCCAGCTTGAAAGAGCTCCTGTGTGATGGATGGATAGATAGATAGATAGATAGATAGATAGATAGATAGATAGATGGATAGATGGATAGATGGATAGATGGATAGATGGATAGATGGATAGATGGATAGAGCTCCTGTGTGTGTCTGAATGTGAGCGTTGATGACTGGAAGACATCTTCTGCCTCCATTTATCTGTTTGACTCATGTTCATGTAGATTTAAAGACATTTACATTAGTGGAAACAATTGCAGGGGGAGGGAGGGGGGGATATATATATATATGAATTTACAATAATATTGAATATACAGAAAATAACTAAAAAAGAAAAGTGTAATCACCTTCTCCTTCTCTTGCACTCTTCGTATGGAACTGTGATGTAATAGCACTTGTCGAAGACGTCCAGCATGGGCCTGCAGGGCAGAAGCCAGAGGCGGTCAACAAAGCCGTACAGCGCTTAAATAAAAGGAGTGAAGTTATACAACTGTCCAACCTGCTCTTATCTGCCCGGCTGCAGCGAGCCTGACTTAGTACACGGCGTCCCCCCCACTCTGCCGTCACCTCGCCGCTCCACTGAGAGCCTCTTTCTGCTGAAGCCCTTATCTATGCGCACAGGGCTGCAGGGGGGGCTGCTCTCAGGCTCCAGACACAAGAGCCAGTGGAACACCGGTAGCATCAGCACGTGATGCCTCAGAACTAATACCGCCCTCTTAAGGCCGGTTATCAAGAATTTAATAGACGGTGGGCCAAACCAGGGCCCCCGCTCCCTCTACTCCAATGCCATCGGTGGTGATATAACAGTCTGAGAAATCAGTTTCAAAACACACACAGATGCTCTCAGACAACGACTCTCGGTCACCGTGCTACCACATATGAACTAAATTAAATGTTGTTTCTATAGCTCCACGTCCCAACAACAGGAATCTCCCAGCTTTCCAACCAAAGCAGCTCAGACTCTGAGTTATTTCCAGAAGAACAACAGCTCCCACCAAGAGCAGCACTAGGAGACACAGGGAGGAAACAACTGCCTTTAGGGGGAGGAAACCTGGAGCAGAACCATGGCTCAGGGTGGGGGTCTGCCTCGGCTGGGAAAGAGCAGGGTTCGGAATTCGTGGGAATTTGGTATCAGCCAGCGGGGCTAACCGCTCTTAAAAGTTGTTAGCCCTGACCCAAAGTAGTCCGATTGGTACTATTCTATCTGTGGGGTCAAGCAGACTAAATCCAAATAATATTCTATATATTTAGAAACCAACAGTCAGAAAATGGTCTGTCAGCAGATGGAACGCTGTGCTATAATATAATTTAAAATGTTTTCAGCTCCTCTCGCTTGGCGACGCAATCACGTTATGATTGATGATAAACTGCAGGATAACATGGCGGTACAATGGATTTCCAACTAAAACCCTGTTTCCCTGTTTATTTTGCATGTATTTGACAAAACGAGATGGTTCCAATCAACTTACGGGTAGTTGTAGAGCAGGAAGCCCTCCACAATCAGGATGTGGATGTGATTGTCCGGGTCGGCCACGTCTGGGACCGGCGCCAGGGGGACGCCGTGGGAGCGGGCGAACTTGACGGGATTCTCCATCCAGCCTTTGACGGTGTTGGTCATGGCCTCCATATCCAGAGCTGTGATCACTGGGGGGGAAGATGGAAAGGAGGAAGAAAAAGGGGGAAAACGGGGGATCAAATAAGGAGAAAAAGGGGGATAAAAAAGAAGACAGATTAGAAGAGACACAAGCTAAGACTGTAATGCTTTGGGATTTTCTTTAGCGTTTGGGAGCTAGTTAGCAGCCAAAAACGTGTGCTGTGTAGGTTATCAAAATACATTTAAGTGTGAAGTGTTGGGTCCTTCACTTTAAAAAGGGGCAGCTATGTGATATAAAAAGACACAATGAGTCACTGGCAGTCTTCAGTGAAGTCTTACCATCCCATTGTCTAAAGCCGTCCTCCCCAAACTGTATGTGATCGGGTTTCTGAAATAACAGTCACCAATAAAACATTGCTGCAACCGCACAGCTCTGAACAGTTGCAGATCTCACAGATAAGTAAAGCCAAACCAGGGAGGGGTACTAAACAAAAAAGGAACACAGCAAATGCATGCAGAAAAACTAAGCAGGTGCAATGCAACAGATGGGTTAAAGAGGCAAAAATACTGAAAACAAATCTTAAATTAAGGTTAGGAGCAGAGGGAGGGAAATTAGGTTAAAACAAATAAAGTCTGACAGATACAAACAAGCCAATGCTAGCAAATTCAAAAAGGTTAAAGAAGAAAACATTGTGGCAGCGATAATGTCACACAGAGGTAAAGGAAATTTCCACATCCAGTGGGAAAAAGAAAGAAAGAAGGGGGGGGATGGTAGGCAGCTGCCCCAGTGCACATGCAGAGTTCAATTAGGAAGAAAGCTGCCAAATAAAAACCCAACAAACGCTTTTTACTACCCACTTTTATCAAAACTCACCTTGAAAAAATCATCCTGGTGTACCACACAGCAGTTGGGTAAAGTCTTGATCAGTCTATTGGTCAGAGTGGTTTTACCACCATTAGTCACTCTGTGAGAAAAAAAGAGGGAAAAACACATTTCCATTATGACAGAGAGAAGTAAATAATGTTTATATTTTACTATGGCGTGTGTCTGGAGTTGGGGAAAGCAAGGTTTTTGTTTGGTTGTGTTTCAGAAGAAAATGTTTTCCATAATCTACAGAGAATATTAAACATGATGAATATTGATAACAGCAGAGAGGCCTTCACGTGTCTGGTCAAAAACTGGTAAACTTGCCCTAAATTGACTCCAGCTGAACGCTTGTGTTTCTGTGTAGTGTAGACAGCGTTTCTGACATGGTTTTAAAAGTTTATGTCAAAACGAGAAATCTCCCTCCAGTTTTTAACCGAGTCTCGCGGTGATTTTCAAAAGTCCCGCTCGATTTCTGACAACAGACAGGTCGAACCGGACGTGGCTTTAAACTGGTTCTGGCGGGCAGCTGATAACGAACGTGGACGTGAGGACAATTAAAAAAAAAACATTTAAAAAGAAGAACTTATTTAAAGTACCCTTTATAGCACAAAAAACTTTAACCAAACGACTCAACCTCCAAAATAATAAAATAAAATAAATACCTGACACAACGATAACAACGTTATCAACAACGATACTTAACTGTCAGTCAGTAAATATGAATATATAAAAATATAAAATATATAAAATTCAAAGTATAAATACAAAACTTTGTAAAAGAGCTGGAGTTTGATTTTTTTTTTTAAACATAACACACTTACCCGCCAATTCCTATAATGTATTTCATTTTCTCTTCTTTTTTCGGCAGTCTTGCTCGAATCAGTTGAGTTGGGATAAAAATCCAACAAAAATGAACACGTCAAAATGTGGAATCGGGTCGTGGACTCCCGCGTGCCTCTCTTTCCTCTTTTCTCTCCTTGAACTGGCTCGAGACAGTCTCGTATATATCCATCCACAGTTGTATTGCGTCACGCCACCCGCAGGCATGGGGCGTTCTCGTGGTTGTCTACGTGCTCGTACATTTTTCCATCGCGTACAGGCCCCCTGAACGCAGCCAATGAGCGTCCAGACGGAAAACGCCAGCAGCCAATCAGAGTCGGTGAACTTTCACACATTTACATATTTGTCTGCAGCTAATCCTCATCATGAGGGGAAAACTACCATTGACGGTGTCAGATAAATACATAAAAATAGCTGCTGTGGCTATTTAGATCTTGCTTTACTATAAGCTGATTAGTTTGTTTTATTTGAATAATAAAAATGAATCACATACAAATCAACGTGTACAAGTTGCTACTTCATATTAATTACATTTGATTTTTCATGGTAAATATTTATAGCAAATAAGATCACACGTTCAAATTATCTCTTTTTTTGTTTTTTGTAATTTAGCCTCATATTTAGTCAGTTTATTTTCTAGTCATATTATGGTGGTTTTCATCCTGGAAAGACTGTTCTGAGTTCAGCATGAAGACATATGAGGACAGCATGGACTTGTGTAAAATCAAAATAGAAAACCATAAAAGTAATACCTTCTACATTTCTGACGTTTGACTTTTTGTCAGGATTTCTGACGTTCAGGTTTAAACTGCTAACTGGGTTTTGCTTTATTCATTTGGTGTTAAACATGGTGTGTTTTCTGTTGCTACTTTGTTGTAACCACCCTAAAACACAGCTCCCTGGTTAAAATGTCCCTCTCAACAATAGCTGCTTTCCTGTTTTTGACTGTGTCAGTGCTCGTGTGTTGGGTAGGAGGTGAACAGACAGGATTTTCCTCCTCAGGATGAGTGTGAAAGGGACAAAGATGCTGTTGGTAAGTTGTGACAGTTCTTTCTTTGTCTCAATATTAACAGTCCCTGGGTCCAAGAATAAAGACTAAGAATAAAACGAAAAAATCTTGCTAAAGAAGATGAGATGCTCTGAATCTTCACTTTGATCCTGTATCCATTCTTAAGCGTACACAAGGCATATGTAGAAAGAGAAAATACCCCTTTAACAGGAAGAAGCCTCTGTCAGAACTAGACTTTTAAAGCATTATTTCAAGAAAGGGACAAGTGAAGTCCTTTCCAGTGGTGGTATAAGCACAACAGTTAAATTAAATCATAGTCCACCACCCATGAAACAAACATTGTGTGAACCCAGATCGATGGTAAAATTAGGACATCTATAAGGAAAAATGAATAATTCAAGGACACATTTTAAAGGTGAAATTTACAGGAGATGATCTCTACTTTACAGACACAGAAAGCACCCACAAACACACCAGACATTTGGAGGAACGTGTTTATTTACAGCCAGTTGTAGATCGTGAATAGTCATAATTAATATAATTATTTGAATTGGAGCAAACATTTTTTAGCTGATTAATGGTAGACAAATTATATGTGATAAGAAATATATTGTGCTTTTAAAGTCAAAATGAACACCTTCATTTTGGAAATATCATGTCATGACATTGCTGATTGTTTGTGGGGGTCAAATGAAAGCCATTCAACCTAAAGGCTACACTTCACATTACTATACATTTCTAGATTTCACTATGGTTCAAAAGTAGGCACTCAGTTAAGCCATCAGACTCTGAACAGAGGAGCCTTTCCTCACAGACTGACACACTAATGTCATGTTGGAACTTCTTTGGAACATTCAAAGATGGCGGATGGTTTGAGAAACTTTCAATAAGGTTAAAAAAAAAGCTTTGATCCAAAATAACCATCTCAGAGAGACATCAGAGCAAAAATCATAGCTGAGATGACAACAAACTTTCATTAGTTTTTTCTGTACAAAAGATACATAAGCATTCCCATAAGCAGGCCATGCTAACAAGGATGCAAACAGCCCCTGAACATAAAAAGCACATTCTAATGCAAAATCACTCAAATATTGTGTTAGAACTAATCTGCCAATAGTGCAAATCAATATCAACAGCATCCAGATAACAGAATGCTATGATTCTAGTTGTTCTGTCCCCTGACCTCACGAGGCTGGGCAGATGGAAGACATAAAAAAATCAATCTAAGACCAGCAAAATATCATAACGTGTTAGGAAAATGTCAGAAACATGCTTAAACTTCTGCTTATGCCCCAGCTGTTCAAGCAAATAACCACATGAAAGGGCATGATGCTAAAATGACCAAGCAGCTAAATTACAAGCAGTTTTTACGAAAATGAATTAAACCAAATGTCTTATTTTTCTCTTTAGGAGAGCTTTAGACTTTACACAACCATTAAGAGGGCTTTTTAAAGATCCCCTGACTGAAATCTGCATTTTATACTAATGCAATGTTTGTGTATTTGAATTAGATTCAATCCACAGTTTAATTGAGCTGCTTTACATGTTGCAGGTTACTACGTTTGTCCTTTTCTATAAGACATGTACTATAGTTTTAATGCATTTGAAATACCTTATGCATTAAATGATGTATGACGTCATCTTTGTTTAGATTTTTCTAGCATGGTCTTCCTACCAGAAAATGCAAATGGTGAACAATGAGGCACATCATAGCACAAACTCCACAGAGCGAGTGGGATCACAAAGAACCAATGATCCCTACATCAAAGAACATTAGTACATTTATCAATATAAAATATCAGGACAGGATACAAGAGAGCTGAAGAAGGCCTTATGATACAGCAGTTATGAGGTAAAGGGCAAATGATGAAGGCATTTTGCTACATCGTACATATTTTTTATTCAGAGATCCTGCTTAAGAGCAGTTTGTTCCAGTAGGTGTCTAACAGGTGATTATGTTAGATCCACAACTAATCGTTATTGCAGAAACCCATGAAACATCTTCCAGTTTCACAACTCCTCATGTGCCTGGTGATAATCGCTCAGTATGTGAGCACTCAAACTTAAAATGACCCTCATACCTTGAAGCTGGGATGTACAGTTATCTCCTCCAGGAAGGAAAGGAGTGGCCAAAGAGACTGAGAAGTCCTTGTTTTGGGGAAGATGACAACATGAGTTGGATGCTGCTAAAACAAGGGAGACGTCCCTCTTTTAGACCCTGCACAAACAGAAAGAATCATTAGAACACAACATAACTAAAATAACTAAAATACAGATATCAAAGTTTGGTGTATGCAGGGCAAATGACGCATTTCATAGTTTTTAAAAAGTTATCATAAACTAAGTTTTTCTTCCCCATTGACATCGTGTAAGAACAAGTCATCATTTTGTAAATAAAGGAAGGAATACATATTGGAAGAGATGTGGGGAAAGTTTCACCTTATGGAGTACGCTCCTTCTATAAACCGATTCTTTTTTGTCCAGTAATGGTCATGGCTCCAAAAATAATTTAACTATGAGACAAATTGGACAGCACTATTGACCCTGGTTAAAAACATGGTAGATGGATTCTCTGTAAATATATTCCCACATTTTGTTCAGTTATTCCCCCCAAACACATGCCTTATTGTTTTACTCATTGAGGTTACCAGGGCTGTTGGATACTACGTTTTAGGGGACAGGATTCTTGCCAAATTACCCAGTTTTCAGACCAGGGATCTGTATCAGTGACTTGTTAGAAGCAGTGTGAATAAGAGGTCAAAGGGGGGGCATTAAGGGTTTGTTGGCAGCACCAGTGGTAAACAAAGCAGAATAAACCGTGTTCCTCTAATCCTGCTGTTTACAAATCATTGTGACCAAGTCATATGCAACTTTCTGCTTTCCAATCCAACATTTTCAGGATCCCTTTTGGTTTTAATCCATACTAGATGCTATTTTGTATTCTGTCCTTCCACTGCAACAATACCAACATGGAAACATCTAAAACCTGCTACACCTGGTTTCCTCTAGCTCAGACTGTCCTGCTTTAGGACAAATCTAGTTGTTTATGGCCCCAAATCCCAACACATGGCATCTGAGGGTTCTTAAGAGCTAAGTCAGTTAGAATCCAATCAATAAATTACAATTCAAATAAGCACAATTCATACATTGTCAAATAAAAAACAAGATGCTTCTCAAGATGCTTCCCCCTCTGCACCAGGCTCAGGAATCTTATCTAAGGGGGGAACATTCGTAATGAGTCACTGGGTTACTGGGTGACTGTGCAGATTCCTACAGTGTGTTTGGCCCATATCAGTTTATAACAGCACATTTTCTACCCTGAGAGGAGGTAAAATAGCCTCAGAGATACAGATGATGTACTGTAGACAGACCAAACTATTGCTGTTCAGACACTTATTAAATACAGGAAACTTGAGTCTAATGATACAATACAATACTGTCCAAATATTATCTCCACTCAAACATACTGCATATGCATTAATATTGGATAAGAAAACCAAACGAACAGATTAACAAGGTCAATTTTCCATAGTTCAATGTTTCATTAAGTTAAAGTACTCCCTGATGAAGGATTTGTAGGAACCTAACAAGGGGTATAATCAGTCCAAAGAAGAGGCCCCACCAAACAGATATGACCTTATGTAATCAGTCACGAGAGGTACTGTAAAGGAACATTTAAGAGGAAAAAACTCATGTAACACTTCCATATATATAACTATAATGGCTTTGTACGTCAAATTTCAGGCAGACAACACATGAGGCTGTCTGTTTAGTGTGAGCCCTCCACATCATTAAAGCATCAGGACATGCACACATAGACAGTTTTTTCTTTAATTATGGTGTCTTTTACATACAGTTCTGTGAAAATGTTTTAAGCCACACTTTTATTTTTTTATAGAGAAACTTTTTTAAGAAAGGGATGGAAATTAAGCATATAAAGGAAAATCCGGGCTTGTATTATTCTTACAATCTTGGAACACTGAATTTTGTATGGGCACTTTATGACGTTTATAAAGAAAAAAACTTTATTTATGATTCATTTAATTTCTGCAAGGAGTGGGAGTATTTCTCCAGGCTTCTGGTGGAACACCCTATTGCCCTTCTGTCAATATTAACTTTGTTTTTTTTCAGTTCTCTGTCAAGACAATTTCACTTTTCTTTCAGTAACTCTAGTTTCTAGCACTGGGGAGGATTAATCCCTTCAGAAATTGAGTTGCCACTGATTTTGAGCCCAGTTCTTGCATTGTTTATTGCACCTCAGCCCTCCCTCCCTCTTTCCAATCCTTAAGAAAAGCCTCCTGACAGTCAACTGTGAATTAATCAGCTGAAGGAGCAGAAGAATCTCTCAAGTCCTTTCCAAGATTTTTTCTGCTTCTGTCTTTACTCCTCCAATTTCAGAGATTGCAGCACACCATGTTTATACGCAACAATTACCTGACAAACAGCTACTTGGGAATCACCATTTTGACCAAAATGACTGTTTTATGTATTTCAAACTGTGTTTGAAATACCACGAGAGAAAGAGCTGTTGCTCAAGACCACTTTAAATGTTGTAAACAAATTCTGGACCTTTTGCAAAGCAACATGTATGAATCAACTACTTGTTTTATTCAAGATCCATTCCCTTTCTGCAATTCACTTTGAAAAAGACAATAACGAAACTAGATTACGGGTCTATGAAGTCTACTGCCAAGTCGTATTTATTCTGAACTTCACTTTGAATATATTGAGGAATTGTAAAAAGGATGTTTTATCAGTGATTTGGAACACGACATCTGAACGGAGATGTGGTCATTTTGTGGCTAAAACTGGAAATACAGCAGATGTTAATATTACCTTGACCAGGAATCTTTGTTCTTCTCACAATGCTTGATCTACAATCATCGATTTGGGCCTGAAAATAAAAACAAAACAAAACAGAAACAGTGAGAGATGAGAACGTTAGAACCTAGCACACGTCTGGATCCCATGCATACCACAGCTGTGTAATATCCAGTGTGTGATGCATGATTGTGGATGCTCTGGTACCTCTCAGATTTCTTAATTGGCTCCTGTGGGAGTCCCTGCTGCTCTTGCCGTTGCTGCTCCTGCTCCATCCTGAACACACACATAATCACGGTACAGACTTTCAGCCTATATTCGCTCAAAGAAGAATTCAAAGGCACTCATGCGTAGCCAGTTACTTCAGATGAGGTGTTTTATCCGCAGCTCATTTTGAGAAACACCTATGAAGGTTGGTAAGTAATGAGATCCAAATCAGACTAAACTGTGTTTTACCTTTCTTTCCGGGCTTTAATCCGTTCTTCATCAAATCTAAAAGAGGAGTAACACTGTTATATCCTTAAATCACATGGTGAATCCAGCCATCAAAGCCATTTCCCCAAATCTAATCCGATTTTCTACATTTATTCAAATGAGATTACAGCCGCCTTGCTCTGGGTTTAGAGTGAATTATCATTTTTTATAGTGGTACAGTAGGCACAGCCTTTTCCTCCTACAGCTTATTCCTCCATCTAGTGGCCGCAGATACTTACTGCACTACACACTCTGGAACATGGACGTGCTCCATGGGAACAATCTCTGCCAGTTCATCTAGACTGTGGACATACTGGATCTTATTCATGAATTTCACACTGCAGATGGAAACAAGAAATTGAATATAGTCATGAATTCATTGAAAAACGTCATAAAGTATTAACACAGAGGACACACTTAAGCTGACGCTGTTATTTCAGATTTGTTTCTTTGTGTTCTAGTATCAGCTCTCTTGGTTGAGCTATTCTTGGTCATTATTTTCTCACAATTTTGTCTGGTTTTATGAATTTTGCTTCGGATCTGTTTGAGATATTTCACATGTGGACAGAAAATGGGGTCATATATGGTGACCTGATTTGTGTAAGATAAATACACATTTGAATGTTAGCACCCAGATTCAGGCCAATTCTCTGGTTGTTAATGGTAAATGTTGATTTATACTGCACAATAATTGTTCTACAGCCTTCGTGTTACCTGATAAAGGGCCTGGATATGGCCAGAACAGTTCGTATGAACCAAGTGGGATGGGTGATGATCAGAGACTTGAGGTTCTTCCTCAGTCTGCCAAGAGAACAAATAAAAATCAAGTCAGTTAACAGCTTATGAGGGAGGCTGGTGATCAAAGTTAACAAAGGATGTAAGAGTCCCGTTGTAAATGGAGTTATGAACCACATTCAATCTACAGTCTGACAGCTTGTGGCAACTCCCAAAGTCCCCCGCTCATTTGTCTTATGGGGTGCTCAACTTTTTAAATAGCAGGGATGCCTGACAATGTACAATTCCATTACTGTTATCTTTAATTTAGGTATTAAGAGCAATTTCATGCACAAGATATGGGATGACCTATACTCTGAGAGTACATCTGCAGTAACTGTCTTTACCTTCTGTCAATCATCTGGTAGCATTTTTTGAGCCAGCTGATCCCGGGCATCTTATTCCGAGGAGTGGCTCCGTTCATGTAAATGATCAAATAATCTTCTGCCACAAGCATCTCCAGGCTACTCACCACATATCTGGAGGACAGAATATCATTTGTGAATGAAAATAGCATCAAGGCACGTATCCAAAGAAATGCTAGCCCGAGGGGGCGGTCTTACAGGAAGAGGTTCTCCATGATGTAGTGGTAGTCTGGACAGCTGCTGTCCGGCAGGTAGCAGGCAGAGAACACAATGATGGCATTTAGGCCTTCCCCGTAATAACCTGGAGAGAGAGGTTGTGAGTGAATCCTGAGCCATGCCTCAGGTGTTTCTGACGGGATCATTTGACCTCCTGACAGGGACTGACCTCCATGTGTGATGACCCGCAGGTAGGGTCTGATGATCTGCATGTCGATGCGATGCTCCTGCTCCCCGATGATCACAGTCCTCCACATGCGCCCGTTGTTTGCATTCCCGTCCTCTCCCGCTTCCCCCGGCTTGTCAGCAGGACCTGCTTTGGCTGAGGCCACCGGGGTATCATCTGAACACCGAGCAAAAGTGAGCTTTAACTAACCACACGTCCACGGGGTTGCTGCTAATTATCACATGTGTATATACCTTTAAGGTGACATTATCTTTACCAAAGTCTAATGTCTTAAACAAGCTCCTTAAAGCTCGGGAAAATGATCAAAAAACACAAAAGTGGTTGGTTTCAAAGGTAAAATAAAGATAGTCAAATTTGCACACCAAAAGAAACAGTGAGTTGTTTTTCTTTGGAAACTATATAAATATATATATATGTACAATGCTACACATTTGTTACCTTTACCTTTTTGTTACCTTTACCAGTTCTAAGTAATTTTGTTAAGATCAGTTGTAGAAAAAGGACAAAGGGGGCGTCTCTAAGCCCAAAACCAATCTATCCAATGTCATGAACACAAGAAATAAAACTATTTAAACTAACTAATTAAATGCATAGTTCAAGAACAAAAATACAAAATGTCCAACCTTCTTTTTAGTTTTCTGACATAATTTGACATCTGTGAGAAGAAATGGGTGACCACTAACTGCAGCTTGTACAGTTTAACTACGGACCTTCCCACTCCAGGTCGTTGCCGTTGGTGATGAACTCCAATGAGTCCGTCTCATCGGGCGTGTCAATGTCGTCCACGTTGATGTCCAGGTCGTCCGGCGTGTCCAGGAAGTCGTCCGACAGCAGAGACCCTTCGCTCTGATCCAGGGACAGGTTCATCTCCGGGGCCACCAGCGTGCGGCGTTTACGGTGGGATGCGGACACATTGCCTCCTCCTCCTCCTCCTCCAGGTGGGCTCACGTGCAGGGAGTTGGGCGGAGCTAAACAAAGACCACCAAGAAGAGCAGATGTTTGACAAGGCTATGGAGCAGAGTTTGTTGGTTTCAGGTGAGGGAACTTACAGGCTCTGTCGTCTGTCAGACCACAGGAGGGATCCATGTCTCCGTACTCTGGTAGAGGTCTGGAGGGAACACATGTCAGGGTGAGAGAATCCATGACCTCATTATCAAATGTGACTGGGAAAACAGAGTAATGAGCCAGTTCTGTTGTGGGTTTTGCCAATGATCTGGCTTAGCACCAAAAGAGGAGTAGGATAGAGATAGTTATTAGATAAAGATGGCTAATAACTTCTCTCTGGGGAGAGATGACGATTACTGGGCTGCCAGGCAGGGGGTGAGTCCGATTTGAGAAGGAGAGGAAGGGAAAAAGAGGAGGAAAGAAGGGGAATGGAAGTGGTGTCTCCTGGTTTCCCTGAACACTGCAGGGTGTTTAAAACTGCTCAGAAAGGGAAGCAAGTCTGCTTACTCTGAGGAGGTTTATGCACCGTGTGCAATCTGCTGCTTTATGAATTCAAAAAGGGGCAACTGTGCAAATGATGATGTGTGTGTGTGATTAAAACCCAGGCAGGGCCCACGAGGAAGTGTGGTGGAAACGGTTAAATAGACGGGAGCTGCAGTAGCAGTAGCGCAGTGTTGTGCAGGAGGCAGGGTCTTGGCTGCTCTCCTACAGTCTCATCTTTTCCTCAGGATGACAGTGTGTGCTCCTCCTGAGCCCACAATGCTGGCTCCAGACCAGCCAAACACACACAGATCTCACTCTGCTCCCTGAGGACACCTGCAGTGATTAATGATGCACCGCTTCAATAACAAGATGAAGTCCATGCTATTCAAATCTGGCCTCAGCGAGTAGGGTTTGTCTTTTAACAGAGCGAGTTACAAAAGCAATGTCTCTGTT